ATGTTGCATATGTATATATATATATATATATATATATATATATATATATATATATAGAGAGAGAGAGAGAGAGAGAGAGAGGAACAGAATTAAAATAGATAGATAGATAAATAGATGGTGTGCGTAAACGCTGCCCAAATCATCTGTAGATCCGTGTGCTTTCAGCTCATTTATTAGTTATTAACAAGGATGATTTTTGTTTAACTGAATATAAAAATGTTTTATGTATACATAGGGACGGGAATTTTTTCATATCTGAACACGGTCAGCACGTTCTGCCCGTGTTCATAATTTCTATTATTGAGGCTTGGCATCCTCATTTTTACTATTAAAGGTCCCATTACTTTAACCTTTTTTTTTTATTTCATTTAGTATTTTCCACAATTATGTTGCGGGCAGAGGTTGGTAGGTCTCTGCGTGTATTCAAATATATATATATATATATATATATATATATATATATATATATATATATATATATATATGTAAGCAAATATATGGATATAGATCCGAGAGTATGAAAAAAAAATACAAAAAAAAAAAAAATTTTAACATGCAATTATAAAAATTTAAACACAAAAGGCGATGGACATAAGTCACAACTAATCCAAACAGATAACTGAAATTTTTATATAAGATGAGCGTTCCGTTTAAATATGATCACGTTGTCGTCACGTCAAGGATGCTGCGAAAATGTATTCGAATTTTTATATGTTCTAATGTTAATTATGTTTAAATGAAAATGTCCATGAAGATGGTCTTAAATAGACCGAAACGTCCGACGTCGACTTTATATTAACATTAATACAGCATAATTGCATGTTAAAATTTTTGTTTGTTTTTTCTGTATTTTCTTCATATATATATATATATATATATATATATATATATATATATATTGAACAATAAAAAATATTAAAAAATTTAAATTTTCAGACACAACGGGTTGTATATTAATATTTTTTGTTTTATTATTTCAATTAGGTTAACCCTAACCCTCGACTAGTTTCGACCAGTATGGCCATCATCAGGAGAAAACAATTCCCTGCCTGTTAATAGCAGTGAACTACAGGAGAAAATAAACTTTAACTCTAGTTTTCATTTGTTTTTTATCGTTAATTTTGCTCAGCTCTTGTGTTGGTTAAACGGTTTCTTTCAAGTTGTTTTTACTATAGAGGATAGGAGATTCCTGACGAAGAATTCATTCCTTGGTCATTTTGACAGTTTTATTGGTTGCTGGGAATAGGATGCGTGTGTTAAGTGCATGTTATCTTTTAGTTCTTTGAGAGTGTGTGTGAAGTGTATGTGTGTATATATATTAGTATGGTTGTGTGTATAAGTGTGAAACTTCAACATCTCTGCAAGCATGTCGGTTTTGTGTGGGTGAGAAATGTGGGTAGGGCTTGATTTATGAGGTTATATATTCATTCTATCTATGTTGCTAAATTTGTGGTTTTTTGTTCTAACAAATTTATTTTGAGAGGCAAAATGCATCCATGTTGCTCTAGTATTTTCGAAGGTTATTTTTTTGTCTATTTTTTTTTTTGAAAATTATAGTGAATTTTCCGTGGCTTTTAAAAATCATGTTTTTCTTGGCGGAAAAATTATTCTACAGGTAATAAGCTGTGGGGAAACGATTTGATCCGATTCAGATAATTATTAATACTGTAGTGAAAGGCCCACTCAGATTTTCCTACATATTATTTCTGGCATAGTGTGCTTTCTAATAGGTAAATTATGTTATGACTTCTATAGTTAGAGTTGAGGTAGATTTTGAAAGTAGATTTAGTGACTGAGCTAGTGAACGAACTCGTATGTCTAATGTGGTTACAACATAGGCTCCTTTTGTTGTTACATGGTTGAGAAAAGCCTTTTGTTTTTATTCTTTGTCTATTACGGGTTACCTTATCATTTGAAATTTGGTTACTACCTATAATTGCCTTAAGGTTCTTAGGGCTACAATATTCTAGAAGACGGGCTTCCTCAAACTAAGTTTTTAGGTCTGGTGTGACATGTAGTCTTTCCCAGCGACTTTTGATTATCTGAGATAGTGGAGGAAGAGTGGTGTTGAAAGTGGTTACTAGAGGGATGCATCTGAATTTTTCTTTAATTTTATACATTAGTGTGTCTTCTCTATTGGTTTATTTATTTGTTCCCTGCTTAGGTGTTGTTTATAGCCACATGTTATTAATTGATGCTCGAGATTTTTAGTGTTTCTTTAGTTCTTCATTGTTGGAACATAGCCTTCTGTTATAGTGGAACACACCTATTCTATTGTTAATAGACTCTCCCACCTATAATAAGTAGGAGTAGTATGAGTTTTGAGTCGCTCAGTGAGTCGGTCTGATTTCAGTCTGAAGTCGGACGACCGGCTATATAGTTGAACTCTCTGCCTTCGGGCGGGGAGGAACACGAACGATTTTACGCTGAAGGGCAGAGTCTCTTTCGGGGAGGTAATTTTAACCCTGAACCCGTTTATACGGGTTCAAAAAATGTATATTTTTGGACGAGCCCACGGGCTCGGAGATCCCACCCTAAAGATCCCACGTTAAACCGGCCTTGTGCCACACGAACCTATATATATATATATAAATATTATTTAGAGTTGGTCAATCAGTCGATGTCGGTCGACCGTTAGTCGAATATGAAAATCAGGGACCAACAAGATTTATCTGCGTCATTACCTATTATATCAAGTTCCTAAAGTTTTGTATGGTTGAATTTATTTTAAGACCGACTTAGTATAAATAAGGCCTCCATTGTGTAACCACTACATAACCCCTTCCGAAATTTTTTAAATATTTAGTGAATAGGAAATTTTCCAAGGTGTTTTCGCTAGGAATCAGTTAAAGTGTAGTTAGTTTAGGTGTCGGTGATTTTAGTGAATGTAGTTATCTGCTTTTTATAGATGTAGATTTGGGTGCTGTTTAATGACAGAATGTTTTCGATCATTTTTGAATTTTTTTCGATCGAACTTAAGGAGTCGTATACCTGTTTAGGATTCATAAGGAATATATGAATAATATTTTGTGTGTATAAAGAAGATATATATGTATTTATATAAATATATATATTTTTATTGACGAAGGATAAATATGGGTCATCCTCAAATTTTCCCATGAATATAATATATATGGAATATCATATAATATATATAAATATATACTCTGTTTGTAGTTAGTGTTTTCCATTGATAAAAAAAGTATTCAATGTCCAAATATATATGTTCATCCATGCTTTTTTATGATTAAAGTCTGTGTTGTGGGTATGTTTATTATAATTTTAATTTTTATATTGGAGTTTATTGAAATATATATATATATATATATATATATATGATCGTTTTTTAGAAAATTTAATATTACGAGACATAAAAAAACGGGTTTTAATTCAGTTTAACGGGAAATTTAAAATTAACACAGAAAATGTAAAAAAAAGAAGTTCGTGATTATAATATCAGTAAAAAACTCATTATGTTTCGATTTTTGTAAAAGACGTTTTCTCTCCCCATGAAATTAATTTGTTTCGGAGCCGACTACATAGGAGAATTTTTCAACACTTAGACATGAGAATAAAACAACATTTTTTACAAAAATTAGAAATTGTTTTTTCTAATTTCAAGGAATGGACATGAATGAACATTTATAGTTATATATATGGGAACATTTATTAAAGAATATCAGAACACCTGCATATAAATTCCTTTTGTTGACTGGTTCAGTCGGACGTCATTGCTTGTGGGATTTGATCGGTTGAGGTATATCGGTTGAACTTCTGCCTTCAATGGAGGAACGTGAACGAGGCTATGCCGAATAGCGGATTATATTTTTGGGAGGTTTACGGTCCCTGAACTGGTGCAATATACGGTTCAAAGGGTTATATATATAAATATTTATACATCGGAGATAAATCTGAGATCACACGGCTTGGAGATCCCACGTTAAACCGGCTTTAAATACATGATGTCCTATACTTGTTGGGGTGACTAAATTTATAGATGTATATCTGGTTCCATATATATTTGTCCTGTAAATCATTTTTTTATTTCATCTAAAGGTTCTGAGGCATTTTACATCAAGAATGTAAGCCTTCTTTGTTACTTTACGTGATGTTTGTTGGGACTCATTGTCATTTTAAGTGTTTAATTCTAATTTTTTTTTTTTTTTTTTTAAAAACAATTGGAAACTTTTATTGTACATTTTTTCTGTGTTAATTTTAAGAAAAATTGAAGCCCAAAGATTGGTTCCTGAAACCGGTTTTTAATTAATAATGTTTGAGTATGGAATTTTTTGGTTTTTATTTAATGAAATTTTTTTAAACGTATTCTTATAAAGACAGATTTTAGGAATTTTTGCCAATGTGTATATATATCAAACATAATTTAGTTTAGAAAAAGTTTAGTCCTTTATTTATACTATAAATGTGTTGAGCGAGAATTTACGGTTTAGATATATAACAAATAAATTTTATATATATATATATAATATATATATATATATAAATATATAAATTAACGTTTTATTTTTTTTTATGACAAAAATTTCAAACCATGTTTCAAAAATAACCACTAAAAAAAATATTGATATATTATTTATATATATATATATATATATATATATATATATATATATATATATATATAGATAACTAGACTCGTTTCGAAAAACCTTTGAATTTTTGATTTGATAATCAAATCAATCTCGAGGGAAAAAAGGTTTTAAAAAAAGAAAGAGCTACAAACATGAACTTTGTCGACAAAAAATCGCACAGATACAGGTCTGAAGCCCAAAAAAAAACCCTGATACGAGTAAACAACTAACTAACAAAAGAGCTCAATACAACCGTAGAGCAGACCATGACGATCCGTTTAGGTGAAACCTAATGTTTGTCTGCAAATATTTATAATTATATATATATATATATATATATATATTATAAAGAGAGGTATAAAATAAATAACCGATAACAACAAGGTTATATTCTGAAAAGGAACGTTTTACCCAAATATCGACCAATAGATAGATAAAAAGAAATTTTGAAAAGATAGATAGATAGATAGATAGATAGATAGATAAGAGAGATAGATAGATAGATAATATGTTTAGATAGATAAATAAATTTAGATAGATAGATAGATAGATTATATATAGATGAAAAATTTTTATAGATAGATATTATAAATAATATTTTATTTAGATAGAATAACAACATTTCACATAGATAATTAATTTTAATAGATAATGGATAGATAGATGATGAACATTTTATATAATAGATGATGAAATTTAGATAGAACAAAGATAGATAGATATATTTTCATGGATATATATAGATAATAGATATTTTAGATAGATAGATATAGATGAATAGATAGATAGATAGATAGATAGATAGATAATGAAATATTTTAATAAAGATCGATCGATATATATAATATAAAAAATAGATAGATAGATAGATAGATAGATAGATAGATAGATAACGAATATTTTAGCATAAATAATGAATATTTTAGCATAGATAATGAATATTTTACATAGATAGATAGATAGATAGATAGATAGATAGATAGATAGATAGTTTTTTTTTTTTATTTCAGTCTTTGAATACAACATTTGCAAAAACATTTTATTTTCGAACAGGAAAATGGTACTTAATTTCGAGTATAAAAGAAATATGGGATGCTTGTATTATCTCGTAGCTTGTATTATCAAAAATCTAACCAATAAATTGAAAGGTCATTCTCTTTCTTTATCGAATCTATTTTAATTTATTTCAAATTATGAATTTTTTTTTTTTTTTCTCTCACCTGCTTTTATTTGCCATTGAGGACAAGACTTCAATTTTTTTTTAATAAAAAAAAAAATCAATGAAAGAATAAAAATCAAACGACAAATCCACATGGGGTCCCGCCGTGGAATCTACTAAGAAAAGGGACTATGTCTTCAATATGAGGATATTTTATATAATAAATAAAGAATCGTTGGGCCCTGTAATTCATTTCATTTAATGGCATATGCATCAGAAATTTCTTAAAAATTCTGTTCAGTAAACCAGCTTAAGAAAATAGGATACGATTTCTTTTCAAAATAGTAGAATTAAAACTACGTTTCGTAGGTGGACAGTGGTAGCCATCAATGTAATCTAATCTCCACTCCAAAAAACAAAAAGAAGGTTGACTAAATTACAGTGTGCTGAGGACAGGACTAGACCTATTTATATCCCCTCTCAGTGCTATCAGTACTTTCTTCTAACTGTAAAATAAATGAACATCAATAAATGATTGTCATTTAATATTTAATTAACAAGAGCTGTCTAAAAAAAAAAAAATCCTCATAGACACTGAACTTTTTGATTGTTGATTTCAAAATACATTCGGATACTTGTGAAATCTGCAATAACTAAGAGAAATAAACAGCAACAACAACGAGTAAGTATATTGTTCGATGATATACAGTCGTTAAATTTGTTCAGGCCGAAAAAAGGATGAAATATATAAACCTGTTTTTTTCTGTTTATATTTTCTTATTTTGACCCTTCCTATCTTTTTAACATTTGCTTTTCTCTACCGACATTTATATACGTCACACATTAAACTAAGTACCACTGACTATTATTAAAGGTTGGACAATATTCGTTGGTTTTAATATCATTCTAGGGTTTATTTTTTCGTTCATCTCTGTGAATTTGTTTTGCTCATGATTCTTCTTTTATGTGCCGTATCCTTTCAGGACATACGCGATCATGGCTCTCCTCATCTTCCTGTAGCTCTTAATAAGTTTTTTTTTGTTGTTATTTCTCCCAAACCCTGTTCTAACATCCATTTGCTCAAGCCCATCAAATACGTTACACGCTTCTTTCCTCTGTCCCTCACTCTGCCCTGTGAGTATCAGATTTTCCAAGCCCCCCTTCCTTATTAAGTGATCCAGAAATTTCAATTACCTCTTCCTGATGTTAAGTATAAGTTTCCTTTTTGGTTGCCCCGGCTAATTAAAAAAAAAAACAAACAAACAAAAAAAAACACTGTATAAAATTCACTATTTTTTTCATCCATTTAATTTGTTAAAATTCTTCAATCTCAAGTTGCCGCCAAACATTAATTTATTTAAGATGCAATGATCTATTATGACATGTTTCTAAATTTATTTAGATACATTGTATTAATTTTCAATTTTTGTAGTTGAATTGTTCACCTATATTGCATATATAATCTATTTTTTATATAATTTTTTATATAATTAACTATATATATTTTTGTCTATATAATTGCAACTATATAATTGCACTATATAATTTCACTTAGATTGCATATAATCCATTATTCCACATAGTTACACTAAATAATTGCACCTATATAATTACACATATATAATATAAATGATATAGATTGCAACTTATATCATTGCAAATATATAAAAATACATATATAGAATTATAATCCATTATGGACATAATTTACACTAAATAATTAAATTATACATAACTATATAATATAAAATTAATTCAAACTATATAATGAAAATTTTTTATAATTGTACATATAAAATTGAATAAATTATTGCTCATATTTAATAACTCATATAATTGCATAAATATAACTGCACCTATATAATTGCAACTATATAATTGCAGATGAGAAAGCCTAGATAATTATATAATTGATTATCTCACATAATGATTACACATATAATTTACTCATTATATAATTGCACATACATTGCATCAAAAATTATTGCACATAATTGGAACTATATAAAATAACATATATTGTGTTATAATCCATTATTATAATATAATTACACTATATAATTGCACCTATATAATTGCACCTATATAATTGCACATACATTGCATCAAACCCATTATTGCACCTATGTACTTTCAGATAAAATAATTACACTATATAATTGCACATATATTGCATATAATCCATTATTGCATATAATTGCACTATATAATTGCACCTATATTGCATATAGTCTATTATTGCACATAATTACGTTACAATAAAATCCGAGGTCGTAGCACCCGTTAGGGTCCCATCTACGGACAAATAATGATCCCTCCCTCTAAGCAAAAACACTATGAAAGAATAAAAATATATATTTAAATAGTAAAAATTCCAGCAATGCATTTTTATATAAAAAAAAGATTAACAATACATATAGTAAAATGAACAGCAATAATTGTGTTCAAAATATTTAGATTTCGGCATTAAATGTCCCATGGAGGTGTTGATATGCCGCTCAACAAAATCAACGAATAAAACAAACAACCAACATGAAAGAACACGTTCATGACATTAAGCCATTTAATATCCGACAATTTCTTTAATCAAACTGTATTCCAAAATAAAACTTCGACAAAACTACAACATCAAACATATATCATTGCCTCTCGTCGTTATGTCCACACAAACATGTATATGCAGAAAAGCTGAGTATCATCTACCATGTATTCAATTGTGAACGCAGAATAACATATATTATATTTTTATTATTTTAAATTTCCCAAGACAATTAAATTTTAGTGGCATTAAATGACCCATATGAGTTGACATGCCGTTTAAACAGACAAATTAGTCAGTCATTTTTAGTGGAGTATGGATATAAAAATAGCGGTGTTCAAAATATTTAGATTTCAACATTAAATGACCCATAGAGATGTTGATATGCCGCTCAACAAGATCAACAAAACAAACAACATGAAATAACTCTTTCATGACATTAATCCATATAATACCCGACAATTTCTTAATTCAAACTGTATTTCAAAATATAACTTAAATTACCGCATAAAATGCACACATCACGACCTCTAGTAACTATGTCCACACAAACATGTATATGTAAAAAAGCTGAGTATTATCTACCATGTATTCAATTGCGAAAGAAGAATAACATATATCTTTATTATTTCAAAGCTCCCAAGAAAATTGGATTTCCGCATTAAATGACCCATATGCCGTTAAACAAATCCGCCAACCAACTACAATAAAATTTGTATTTTATATAAAAACTAGTAGAGCCCGGCGTTGCCCGGGGATGTAACAGTAAGAGATAGATCAAGTATCGACCATCATAAAGACTGAAAAAATAAAATTGACAAAGATTATTGTTTAAGGTTGACGGACACGCATGTCTTAATTTTTTTTTTTTTTTTTTTACGAATTGGTCAAACCAAACTCAAACAAAAACATTGTTTTCAATCGTTATGAGTCTATCGATTGAATAGAATTTTATTATAAACAATTGTCTTGTAAATGGAATTTTTAAAGCATTCTGAATGTAAAAATAAAGAAAAAGTGTGCAAGACAATAAGAAACACTATCTGCAAAAAAAAAAGTGAAGTTTTGTTGAAATCGGTTGAAAATGTAGGAAATCCGATCCCATATATAAACACACACACACACACACACACACAAACAACCTGGGTTTTATAATAAGTATAACTCGATATGAGTTGTCTCCCTTTTCATTCTCGTGATGCCTCTTAATCGTGTTTTCAAATTGATTTCGTGCAAAAACAATTGTGTTTTTTCCAATTTTTGGCGCTGTCAGAACCACTGCAAGGTAATTTTACGCAGTCCTGTGAAGTTTTGTTGAAATCGGGTTGAAAATATAGGAAATCCGATCCAATATATAAACGTACAGACACACACACACACACACAACAACAACGTTTTTTTATAATAATATATAATTATCTTATGAAAATTGAGATGAAATCCCTTCCACCTAGTATTATAGATTCGTGAGGGCATTATAGATTAATTTGGGCACGATTTTTACTACCCCAAATTTGAAAAACATATTAGATTTTATTTCAGAAAATAAAAATCTTATTTTATTTTATTATTATTATTATTATTATTATTCGAACATTAATATTGTTAAAAGATTTATTATAAGACAGAATTATCAAATATATGGATATTCAGTTTTTTGACCCTTTTATCCCCTGAGTAAGGTTACTGAAATAAAGGTCGGTTTTTTGTATTATAATCCAGTTTTTTCACTCAGTGGTCAAACCGATAATTAGCTGGTCATAGCTGGTCAATTTCCAAGCCGTTTCACTTTTTGGTCTAATCTTTTTGGTGTAATGGTCTTTTTTTGTCATAGTTGGTCCAATTACGAACCGGGTGAGTTCATTGTTTGAAAATATTTTCCCAGGGACGAGCCTTTGAAAATCAATATTGTCATTCGTGAAAA